CTATACTTTTGCCCGAACCATCTTTGTAATTCCGCCAAGTTCCATTCACCATCAGTAATGAACTCCTGAAGAGAAGGGAAATCACCTTCTTCCACAGCTATAAAAGTTGGCCATTTTTCCAAGCTTTTGTCTAGAATCCATATATCCTTTAGAATGTTGATGGAAGAAACTGACACAATCTTCCATCTAACTATTGGCTGGAAAGATTTCATCCCACTTGCTAAGATTTTCCAAGTATTAGAAATGTTTCTCCTATAATCTGCATTCCAAATATCACCATACTTTGCCTTCAAAGATCTGTTTAAGAGAGAAGCGTGTTTATTATAGAAATTCCATGCAAACTTCTCTCGTAAAGGGCCTGCAATAAATTCTGTTGGATGCAACCCTTGTCCTCCACAACTTATCAGTTTACAAAGCTCATACCATGCCATATAATGAAACCCACGATTACCTCCTTGCTTGTTCCATATAAAATCCCTACACATCTTATCAATATTTTTCAGGATACTCAAAGGTTCCAAGGAATGTGAAGCAAAGAAAATTGGGATGGATAGAATCATTGATTTAATCAAGACCAATCTCCCTGCTAAAGAAATGAGCTTGTTCCCCCATACGCTTAGCTTGCAAGAAGCTTTTTCAAATAGATTTAAAAAACCCGAAGATACCAACCTCCTCAATGCCACTTTAATTCCCAAATAGTTCATTTCCTTTACCTCCTTGAATCTCAACAAGTTCAAGATTTTCTTTCTAGACCTCCGTCTAACAGCATTTCCAAAAATAATGCTAGATTTATCAGTATTAACAACCTTCCCCGTCCACAAATAGTAAGTAGAAATAATTTTTTTATATTATTCACATATTTGAACATGGCTTCAGAAAACATTAGAATGTCATCAGCATACATTAAATGGTTGATCTTTGGTGCATTCGGAGCAGTTTTATAACCAAATAATTCCCATTGTGGTCAAATGCATTGGATAAGAGCTGAGAACAAAGAATAAACTAATATGGAGAAAGAGCGCAACCTTGCCTAAAGCCACTTTTAGCTTCAATCCATTCCGAATTATTACCATTAAGAAGAACAGAAAATTTGGGATCAACTATACATTCCAATAAAAGATTAGAAAACCGTAAAGAAAATCCATAATTTTCCAAGACTTGCTTTAGAGAAGGCCAAGTCATACTATCATAAGTTTGCTCCATATCGATTTTAATAGCCACCAAACCCTTCTTAGATTTAGAATATATAAACTTGTTGAAAAGTTCTTGAACAAGCAAAATATTATCCGATAAAGTCCTTCCCTTTATAAAAGCCGCTTGTACATCCGAAACTAGTTTATGAATAACCATCATGAGTCTATTTAATAAGACTTTAGCCACAATCTTATAAATAGACAAGCACAAACTAATCAGACGAAAATGAGAAGGAATAATAGGATATTTAACTTTAGGAATAAGAATAACAAGCGTCTCCTTCCACTTAGCACACATTTTACCAGATGTAAAAAACTGAAGGATTGCAAGCCAAACATCTTGACTAATAACATTCCAATAAGTTTTCAAAAAAGAATAAGTGATGCCATCATCTCCAGGAGAAATATTCATACCTAAGCTTTTCACCACGGCTTCTACTTTATAAATGAAAGATCAACATCCATAAGCCAAGAGTCTTCCAAGCTTAATTTGAATAGAGACGGAGGCCAACCACTCAGCCTACAATCCCTCTCCCTCCTTTTATTTTTAAAGAATTTAAATACAATTTCCTCAATGTCTGCCTGAATATCTACAAGATTTCTTTGTTCATCCTTCAATTGATTAATGAAATTAGCATTCCTCCTGCCATCGGCAAATGCATGAAAAAAACATAGAATTCTTATCACCTTCATCCAACCACTTCACCTTCGCCCTTTGTCTCCATCAGGTGTTTAGCCGAGCAAGTGTCACATTTAATTCATTAACCTTGGATCTGAGCACCAATAGCTTTGCATCAGATAGTCCTCCATCATTAGGTTCCTCCAATTGAAAATCAGCTACCTCCCTTTTAAACTTATCCTTCAAACCTGATAACTCTCTCATTTTAACTTTACTCCAAAAATATAATGCTCTTAAAGAGTTATGAAACTTCATATTAAGGGCCTCCATCAGATCGCCAATTGAAACCTCTCTCATTTTAGCTTTACTCCAAAAATTTAATGCTCTTAAGACACCCAAACATCCTCAAATCTAAGGAATTTCTTCTTATGAACTTCTGAATGGAAAATTTTCAACACTATCGGACAATGGTCTGATGCTACCCAAGCCAAATGCCTTGTTGTTGCTTGATGGATTATCTGAAGCACTTTAGAGTTCAAAAGACACCTACCAAGCCTTTCCAAAATCCGAGCACTTCCAACTTTATTATTACACCAAGTAAACCTTCTTCCAATTAAACCCCACATCATGATAATCATTATTGTTCATAAATGATTTCATTTCTATAGGACCAAGAGAAAATTCAAACTTTTTCCCTCCTCTCTTATCATCTTGGGATAAGATAGAATTAAAATCACCCCCTATGATAGAAGGAAGGCTCGAGCTCGAGAATAATTCCAAACACTCCCACAACCTCCTTCTACTTTACAAATCACTATTACCATAAACCTTAGAGATCAACCAAGTGGTATTATTCTTAAAATAATTCAATTCCCCAATAACACATTGGGATGAATTCTTCAAAACTGAGAACGAAACCAAATCAGATTTCCACAAAGTCATAATACCCCTCCGACAAGCCATCAGAAGGATGGATGAAAACATCCCAATCATTTCCCAAGATTTTACAAAACTCCCTCTTGTCACCCAAAGAAATCTTCGTTTCTATAATGCTAATAAAAAAAACATCCCAATTCTTCACAACTTCTTTTAAGTAAAGAGAAGCTATCTTTTTATTTGCCCCTCTACAGTTCCAAAAAGCAATGGAACTCATTTAACCACAAAGGGGGAAGGACCCCGAACCTTCTCTTATTCATACCTCCAACCTTTCTACTTCTTATGGAAGAATTCAATGGACCAAGAGATCTCAGCTCCATAAAAAGTTTCAATTTGGAACTTCCTGAAATGGAACTAAGCAACCCCTCCAATACATTTGATCTGGAATCAGCAACCCTTTCCTTATCAGCCGAAGACTCTTTCAAACAATCCTTGACAATAGTAGATTCCACCAATTCACCCACCTCAAAGTCACCCCTCTCCAAATTAGCCCCTTCTGTAATATTATCTCCATCTTCATCAACAGAATATAGTACTTTAAAGTTTAAAAATGTTGTTTCCAGCACTAGTAGAAAATTCCAGACCTTTAAAATTTTCTGTAGAAATTACAGGATCAGCCAGAAAAACCTCCGATTCATCAATTATTTTCGTAACACCTATCTCAATGCCTTCAGATTCAGGAGCAACACTATCTTGCACTGTAACTTCCTGTCCAGCAACATCTTTAACCACAAAGCTTGGAAGAGAAAGCCTTGTCCGATCATGAACAGATTTAGGAACAAAAATTTGTTTCCTTGGGGCAGCCTTAACCTTTCTCTTGCTTCTATAATTAAAATGGACTCAAGGTCCATAACTAGAGTTTTCGTCTGATTCTCCTATCAATTTAGCACCCTTCATAGACTGTATTTCCTGAAAATTTTTCTAGAAACACAACCTTCTTTAGAATTTTATCTTCACCATCCACTTCCTTCAAATTACAATCATTAATCAAATGACCAATTTTCCCGCATTTATAGCAAAATGATGATACTTTTTCGTACTCCACCTTTTGAAAAAAACGCCCATCCAAACCATCCACCCATACTCCCAATAGCAATTGCTTGTCAAGTTCCACACGGCCACAAACCCTTGCAAACTCCCTTCTCCCCCATTGAAGCATGTTACCATCTAGCATGAGCGGAGTTCCCACCAACGAAGCAATCCTGGACACGTTGATCTCATCCCAACAATAAAGAGGAAGAATAGGCATTCATATCCAAACCGGCAAAGATAACCCTTTTAATGAAGTAGGAGAAAATTTGAAACACCATTTATAAAGTCCAACAACATGACCATTCACAAACTAGGGTCCACCTGATAACACACTTCCCATGGCTTCTAATAAGAAAAAAGAACATAAAATCCATCCTAACCAAGCACTGTTATATGGAAAAATGCAACCATTGACGTCATAATTAAGCGGCTATCAAATGGACTGGGACATCTCTACCAAAAATAACAACCACCAAGAATTGAACCCTTTCAGAATTGGATAAAACATTAGGGTTATGCAGTTTAACAGCTACCTCGTCTTCGGACATAAATGAATCTTCTTTAACTAAATTTCTTTTGATATGAGGACGTTTAGGCCAAGGATTGTCTCTATTCGTCTGAATGCCTAAATCCTTATTAAAACTTCCTTGTACCACAAATTCTGATCCCTCTTTTTGAGCAAAACCACAAACAGTTGAAGAGTCGTCGTGATTGTTTTGAACTGAAGGGGCTCCCTCTAAGATCGTCACAATCTTAGCCATCACATTGCCAAATTTGTTTACAAACAGGTTCATGCCAGTAGACGACGATGCTTCATAGTCCTTCAGTCTAATTTTCCCGATAGACTGAGGAGTTTTAGATTCAGAACCATCAGCCGCTTGTTTTCCCTTACCAGAGATAGGCTCAAAAGCTTTAACAAGAACATCCACAGGTTCCTTAATAATCAAAGGACGAAAACCACCACGTAACTCCAAACGAACAAGTTGATGAATGGTATGTGGCGAAGGGATTGGTGAATCATCAGGTTTCCGATCACTGGAGACGACGGCCGAAGGGCCAATCAGCATTTCCGAAAAGACCGCCAAACGAAGAAGAAGAAATTTTAAAATTTTCTCTCACTACAAACCTGGAGTTTCTCTCACTACAATTGAGCTGTTTAGTGAATCACTAATAGATCCTTTGTTAAGAGTAGTGTAGATTCACTCTATTCCTAAAGAAAATTAATGAGTTTTATTAAACAGATTATACTTCTCGACCATATGAACATCAACTATGTCCTTAATGCACTTCGTAAGGTGGGTTGTAACCAGGCTATACTGCTTTATAAAAACTCAGGGAGGCGCTTAGTTTAAATATCAAAGTGAATTAAACCAAAACCATTAAAAACGAGAAGAATAAGATACAGCATTCTTTTATAAGCATGCCATAGTGCTAGCGACAGAATTCAAATAAAATGGTAATGCACCAAAGGCACTACCTCATATGTAACTACCAACAATAATATAAAAATAAGAAAATCATAACAATATACTAAAACATGTTTACGAATTGACACCTGAGCTTCCTCCATCAAGACATCACTCCCTTCAGTGTTTCCATCAGAACCATTACCCTGAGCTGGTTGCAACGATGTACCAACATCGTCAGGTTTGCTCTCATCATCCGATTTTACATTAACCTCTTGTTTTTGTTCAAGGATAGATACCTGTAATCATATCACATTACGCCAATCAGATAAACAACAATTGGAACAGTTAATACAAAAATATTGTGTAAGCCATTAGTAGGGAAATGGAGAAAACTAACAACATTAAAATATTTCACGTAAATTGTACTCGTATAACATACTAGCTAGGCAACAGATAAGAAGTCAGAACAGCTAGAATGGGAAACAAATCTGGGGAAGAAAGTGAAAGTTCTATGTCTGGAAACTAAAATCCAGTCAAACCATAGAAAAGGATTTTCTGATTCATCATGGTGGTTCCACCTTTAGTAGGTCTAACATTTAATAACTGTGCAGTTGACCTCCATAATACTCTCAGCATTGCAAAGCATCTCTTAATTTATCACTTCAAGTGCTATTTATTTCATTTATCATCCATGAGTAAGGGGTTATTTGGCTATCTGTAAAATGGATGTAAAGTAATTCAAATGTATGAGTTTTGATAATTTTAATGTTTTCTTTAAAGTAAAATAAATGCAATGTAAAAATTTGATACATTTGGAATTCACCTTCTAGTCAATTTTTGTGCATTTCGAATTTCTCAGATTTGGGCGAGTTCCAAATAAACCGAAAAATCATTGCAATTGCCACTGACCGACGACCCACCGCCATCAAGGGTGTGAAAATTTGACCCAACCCTAAAACCGACCCAAAACATTCAAGGTTCGAATGGGTTTGGGTTTCAGTTCGGGTTCAGTTATCCGACCCATTTATAAATATGGGATGTGTCCAAGTTGACACGAAAACCCGAAAACAACCTGGATTGACCCGATTTACACACATCAGACGATTGACCCCATGACCAACGCCCCTCATCTCGTGAACGTCAGCACCATACTCGAGTCAAGGGCCAGACCTGCTCCATTGCTCGCAGCAAGACCTCCAGCGACCCGCGCCTGTGTCGCACCAGCGCCGAGCTCGTCTCACGCAATCTCGCCCTTATTGCGGTTGTCGTTGCCTGCATATTGCGCCAACGCCGTGACGTTGACGCGCCCCCATTTTCATTGCCACTTTTTCTTCTTCCAAGTTCAAGAACTTGGTGCCCCATTGCTCAATCCGTGATTTCGTGATACGAATCCTTTATCTTCGCTTTTATATTGCCTTATCTCAGACTATCTAACTTCCAGCAATGGATTCTGGCTCCGACCTAGTGGATTAACACCTCCGCATGGTGAGAGGAGCCGTCTCTCCTCTCGAGGATGGGCTTTCGCACGCCGCAAAGTATCTCGAGTCCCATTGGCTGGATTTGAGGAAAAAGATACAGGAGAGTGGATTTCCTGGTATATTTAGTGGTTTGGGGAAGAGAAGGGATTTCCATGAAACGGTGGTAGTCTCTGGTGATGTTGGTGATGAAGAAAGCATCATGCAACTGATGATGGAAGGAGGAATCTGTTTGTAAAGAAGAACAAGAGTCTAATCTTGCGCAAAAACTTGTCAGAGCACCTCATCTGCAACCTCACAGCTCGTGAAACTCGCCCGTTTTGGAATAAAAAAGGGTCCGCGGGTCGGGTCAGGTCAACTCGGTAACCCGTGGGAGTCGAACCCGGGTTGAAATACCTAACCCGTTTACAAAAATGGATCGGGTTATGGTCAACCCGTTTAAACCCAGATTAATCCAGGTTCGACCCAAACCCAACCCGCGGACCTGTTTTGATACCCTTATTGCCGCCACCACGAGCCACCGCCATTGCCTCCAACCACTCGGCCACCACCGTCGCCAGCCTACCTCCCACCACCGGTCACCACTGCTGACCACCACCGCCAGCTGCCCGTTAGCCAGCCTCCATTAGCCACACTACCACCAATGTCAGCCACCAACCACTACCCTTTTTGCACTTTACATTACATCATTTCAACAAAACAAAAAAAGTAATCTTATGCATTCATTTTACACTCATCCAAATAACTTCAAAGTATTTATTTTATACTACATTCATATTTCAAACAACCAAACAACCTCTAAATAAATATATTATGCCAAAACAATTATAGCAACAATTACTCCATAATAGTGACGTTAGAAAAAATTCAAAGCTACATGGTACGATAAAGTTTTTTGTTTGCACATTAGGAATGGAATGCTACTTTTAGATGACAGTACACAACTAGCAACCTTGGGTTGTCATCTCTTATTTTTTGGAAACTTCGCAAAACCCCAAAGCGGTGTATTTCAGATATTATATTTCAACAACTCAAGATCTCAAGGCATTCCACTAGATACAAGATGAAAGTAGACAACATAAAATTATCTTGTATATATTGTATTATATAATTCAACTTCCCCGGAAGTCCAAATCTAAAAAATTTACCCAGGGTAGAGTTGCTATTTCTAGACAAATTGGACTTACGCAGCTCATACAACGACTAGTCATTATGGATTAACTATTTGGGTTGGAGAAACATGAAGAATCCATAATTCCATTATGGACATTGTACTTAATAGGGGTGTAAAATGGGTTGCTTTTTGAATCGGGTTCAGGTCAAACCTGAGATTGACCTAGTTTCAACTTATCTGAACCAAACCCGACCAGATTAGGTAAACGAGTAATAATCCTATACCCGAACCCAACCCAGCTCCACCTCCACCTTACTCCCTACCAATGCAAAAACCTCTGCACAGTACACTATCGCGCCTCCCCCAACTTTTGTCCTTGACTCAAGAAATGTGTTAATTGTCTCGTCGCGTCACTTCCGCAAACGAGGCCCCCATCATTTCGCCCATCAGGGCCCATCATGATCATGTTATCCACAATGTGTACAACTACAGGCTGCACACTTTCCTTCCCTTAGTCGTCCGCCGCGTGATCCAATGCATCCACGTCTAGAAATTGAACATAATAACACACAACATAAGCACCGTTGAAGTCAACACCCCCGTTCCCATCCCTCTTCACCCCCATGCAATTCGCCCCTCATTACGCGTTGACTCAAATGCGAGTCAAACTTGGGTTGTTTCCAGGTTAGCGAATTGACACAAACACGACCCGATTTCTAAACGGTTAAAAAATTAGAACTCGAACCCGACCCATCTATTAAACGAGTTGACCTGAATTTTTCGGGTTGGATTAGGGTCATGTCATTAATTGACACCCCTAGTACTTAAAGTTTCCTGGACCCGCCCAAGTATGGAATTATTTGGTTTCTATCAGCCTCTAATAGTGCAGCCTTAAGATCCCCAATAAGACCTACCCATCTTTCCCATCCCATGTACAAAATATTTTCTTATTCCCTTAATCATGTATCCGAAATAAAAAATAAAAAAATAAAAAAAATTAAAAAAAAAATGTATCCGCCTTCTCTCTTCCACAAGTCATCCTCTTAGTCACACATCTACTTTTCCTCTCTGCTAGTCTTCCCTGATGGACAGCTTCAAGACTAGAATAGGACTAATAGCTGAACCCATGAAAAGTAGAAGCAACTAACAAAAATCATTACTTCTAATGCATCATTAATATCATTTTGTCATTTTTAATCTATTCTTTCTCATTACGCAAATAACAACAATTAACAGTGTTAATATTTTCTTTTTGTTGCATTTCAGTGTATTTAGTCAATTTTTTACACCAATTTATGAATACATTATGTTAGCTAATGATATTTCAGTGTATTTAGTCAATTTTTAAAAAAATCAATGCGTTAATATCCTTTTGAAAAATCATTTTCATCAAGACAGACAAAGTAGCTTCAATTGGAAACGTTCAATTCAGTTTTTTCATGTTGTTATCATAGTAAAATAGCCTTGATTGTGAGGAATCAATTTGGTTTATGCTAGAAAATGGGTGTAATTTTGTGATAAAATAACTAATCGGCAAACATAAACAACAAAGAGAAGATCTTCGCATGATGTTTAATGATCTTGAAAAGGCATAATCAAGTACTATAATGATCATTATTTTTGGTATAATTAAGGATAAAAAGTACGTATCAAGGTATGCTTAAGGATAAGCATTAGAAGTTATTCGGTGCCAAGGAGAGCCCATTCATACCAACGTTATATCAAAAAAGATGAACAAAAAGTTCTCTTTTTTTTTAATATTGGTTTTTTTACATGCTTACAAAGAATATTCAAAGATAAAAGGCTTAGGATTATAGGAACAAATGTTGGGCATATGAAATTATTTTCATGGGAGTAATATTATAGATTAATAATCAATATAACTAATTAAAGTGAAACTTGATTTTTCAAGCTATCTTTAAACCCAACTTGAGAAGCATAAGCACTAATAATATTCATAATATCACCACTAATAATTAATTTGATAGCAATAACCCAATCACTAATGTCTATCACCTTAATAATTTTATCTTTCAACTCTTTATCCACTATTATGCCAACTAAATTTATATTGTAAACATTTCTGCAATGCAATAATTTATAAACTTCCCCAATGCCCGTGGATTTTTCCAAATCAATTTAGTTTCTAGCAAATAAGTAATATTTAATTTCCTTGAAATCATTGACTCCATCACTTATCTTATATTTTCCCATGCAAGCCCCCAAATAGAAAATCTAAACTTACGTTTGTGCCTAATTAATCCTTGTTCAATTTGCACAACAATCAAGTTAAATTGTGATGTGTCACTATATGACATCCTAGCCAACACTAGCCTACTTTTCATCATAATTGAATTATAATGTGTTGCAAAACTTATGGAAAATTTTCTAGCTAACCCTTGCCAACTCACCATAATAAACTAGGTCGTAGTGTGTTGCTTCTAAGAAATGCCCTAGCACCATTAAAATTCATATCTTAATTCATTTTATGAATTCTGGTAAAAAATATTCTAAAACTCAATTTGTTTTGACAAAAAGTTTCTCATGCTAAGTTCATAATTACAAAGCCAAATATACCTGCATGTGAGAGTCATGTTAGAATATTACATTAATTCTTGGGTCGTAACTTATAGGCTCAAGGTTTGCTAGGTTCGGGCTTAAGAATCTTGCAACTCCCTTAAGTCTAACAAAAATTTTGTGGGCCACTCACCTAAATTTCAAAGGTAATTCTGATTTTACCTGCTTAGGATGCTTTTCCTACTTAAGAGGTTTAACTAGATTAAACTAACCAAGTTGTCACCGACTACCAGCAAGGTTGTCGCTGACATGATCCGCCACATCTTGTTGCAACTGATGAGAATGAATTGCTAGTAGTGACACTTCTTGGTTCATGCCAGTTTGCATAAATTCATGCTATTCAATGCTATAAAACAAAGGTTAAACATAAAACTATTAATATCTAATTTTTTAACTTATGTTCCCTTATCATTTTAAGCAAACAACTGGCATATATATATATATAAGGGTTGTCTCATTTAGCTTATTCTTAGTTAACAAGCTAAAGCCAAAGTGGAAACCAAGCCGGCCCCTTAAACTTTAGATTACTATATTGTTATCATTTAACAGGAACAATTGCTCATGAGTTTAGTGTAAAATTGATAGGATCATCAACTCAAACATAACTGCAAAAACATATAAGTCAATAAGAACCTTAGGGAATTATCAGACACCATTTAATCCAAGTTTTGTTTAATGCTTATCCCACACCTTGGCATGTATTTATGGCTGCGGTCAAGAAGATTGATTGTGTATGTGATGTAATAAGCTGAGAGATACTTTTCATGGTGCAGATCATAGGATAGCTTAACTATTAGAGAAAGACAAGAAGTGCGAGAGTAGAGAAAGATAAATATGGGATTGGGATTCAAAAAGCCTTGGCTTCTTACATGTCTATTAACTCAATAAAAAGATTACAAGGGAACACCTAGATCTTTGTGTTTAAACTTCTCCCTCATTCCCTTGTATGGGGAATTTATAGAGGATTTTGGATTATTCTGGCCTAGTAATAGGGTTCATCAATCATGTGAGGAATTCAGATGATTCTAGTGTTGTAACATTTCTTTTGTCATGATCCATTTCTTATGTGGACTCCAAATTAGAAGAAGGCCATGTGACACCTAATGGGCCACAATAGAGATACCAGACATGTGTTGGCGCCTTGAGAGGTGGTTGGGAATAGCAACAATCACAAGAGTATTTCCTACACATCCTGCAGCAAAAATGTGGTGATACAACATGCCTTTCAATGAGACGTCTATATTGTTCCCAAACCTTGATTCTTGGATATGTAAGTGGGATGGAACTACAATAGATGCCAGATGCTAGAAAAGGTTTGCAAATGGTGTCTTAATTCTACATATATCTTATCTTGTTAACTAAGGCTTATCGGGTATTAAACATCTCGAGCCTCCATCTATTATTTCCTCATCCTCCTTGGGTCATCTACATCACAGGACATTTGGTATGTGTATTTGAGCTATCTTTAACTGCAATTCGCTAACAATCCTCAAGAGTTTGAGGTGCAGTTCAACTTTGCCTTTAACTTATACTCAATTGTCATCTGAATGGCGCCGATTCCATCTCAAGAGAGCCAAAACCATGGCCCACAGTTTCCTTGTCTTGCTCTTCCCCTGCAACATCCAGCTCTCCTCCGCTATGCCAATATTTCAACCGTATATCGCGACTGCCTTAGAATTAACATCTAATAAAATAAATATAAACATAATTAATAAACGGAAAAAGAAATCAACTTTATAGCTAATCCCGAAGTCAAAATTAGCACAAGCAAGCACATAATCTCAGAACTGAGTTGAACCTCGATCGCAAAAACAGGTTCAAGCTAGTGAGAAAAGAAAAAGAAGAACAGAAAAAACCATGAAACGTACCGGTATGTAACGGAACTTCCTCCGAGGAGCCTCCTCGGACGCGGATGGTGGCGTCGCATCGGCGGAAGCGGCATCCTTACTAGAAGCGATCGGAGTCCATTTGAAAAGGAGGAGATGAGAGTGATTGTTGTTGTTGGAATTTGAGTTGTTAGGGTTTGAGAGCGGAACCCATTTCTTCTTCCACCTCCGCACGGGGCCGCTGAACACCGTAGTTGGGGCGTACCGGGCTGATGAACGGCCCAAACGGGCCCCAACGCCCTCCATCCTCTGCTATCTCCTTGCACAGATAGAAAGAGAGATGCGGGTGAATGGAAGGATGTTGGAATTCTTTATGCGAGCTGAGAGTGTGAAACGTAGGAAGAAGAAAAACTCTTCTTTTTTTTTTTCCCTTCCACGGACAAATCAATTTTATTTTGATTTTAGTAAAAAAACAAAAATTAGTTCCAGATAATTAAAATATATAGCTTCAATTCATGATTAAAAAAATTTGATAAAATGCAACCAATACTTTTTACTGTTTTAGAATATTTATCTATAAAATTAATCAAATATCTTCCATTTATATTTTTAACAAATTATGCCAAAAAATTCTTTTTGGATAAAATTATCTGGTGTTGTATAAAATGAGTCAAGTGAATCTCTAAAAACTAAAAAGTGAGCTTTGTAAACTTAACTTTCAAGCATCTTGTGTCTCTTCAACAATCGCATAGCTCATATGATCTATTAAAGGTGAAGCTTCA